TCTCATCTTTAAGTGTCCTTACAACCTTTCCTGTCCATTTAGTTCCACCCAGCTCATGAGACGAGAGGACAAATTGTTTGAAAAAGCTTCAGTGGGATTCTTACCACGCAAAGCTGCTGAATAAGCCCAGATTTCCTCTGCTCAAGGACAGTCTTGATTATACTGTTTTTGTCCAATTACGTTTTGGAACGCTATGAAAATGGCAATTACGGGATGAAGGACTTCAGAAAATAAAATTAATGTTGAAATTTTCAAATTTTATTTTTCTAGTGACTCCATTATGTAATATCATAGCTGTATGACTACATAACATTAAATTTAAAAGCATATGATTAGCAGTCTGGAGGAAATTCAATGTTCTTTTCCCGCAGAACACTGACTATATTACCATAATTTACGTGGATTCCCTCCGCAACAGACGGCTGTGCCCCAACACTGAACTTCACTGCCTTTTTTCTGCATAAATGTGCTTTTCTTTGAAGTTCGTCCTTTTAAAACAAGGCTTCAACTTTGAGAAAGTCATTCGTCAGCGGGTCATTATTTTGGTGTCCGTCGTTCACAGTGATAGCTGCTGGAATAAATGTAGCGGGGGGTTATAGAGGTGAAGCCTTCTGTGGACGTACAGCCGGTTTTAGTTTCACATGTGCCACACAAGCAGTTGGTATTAAGGCTGGAAAAATGGAAGCTCTATGAGTTATGTCATTCAACTGCCCCAGGCGCTACTGTCCCAAAGTTATGATCTACAGCGGCGGTTTGAAGTCCTCACTTTGATAGTGCGTGTGGGAAGAAGAACGCTTGTAGTGTGCACAAAAAAATGTCACGCCGCATTTAGGGAGACTCCGCTTTCTAGTTTGTCTTCATGGCGGGTTTTCGAGCGGGAAAACTTCATTCTTATTCAGTGGAGACGGTTCAGGCAGAAAATTTGAATAACTGCATGGTTGACATGTAACCTCATCAATACTCCTCCAAATGAATATTCAGCGGTGAAAGGAAACATCTTGCAGCTGTCAGCAGACTAGAACGTCTCCTGCCAGAGTGAAGTTAGCAACAGGAATTTCAACACAGAAAGTTCCAACAAAATCTTTGACCAAAAAAAACCCAAAAACTTTTTCAAAACACCTCATGGATAACCAAAAAAAAAAGAGAAAAGATATTTATACCAACTGCAAGAGTGGCCGTGTCAGTGCTACGTAAAGCAAGACATTCTTTTATCACTTACCAGCAGTGCTACGTAAAGCAAGACATTCTTTCATCACTTACCAGAAAAAAAAAAAACCAAGGTGTGAAGACGCAGTAGACGTTATCTCAACTCTAACACCGTGACCTGAGAACAAAGAGCCCCCCGCTCGGTCCGTTTGTAGAGAAGAGATTGATTGTGGCCGGGCGTGGCTGAGGATGTCCGACGGTGAGACTAATCTGTACACATGTGGCCTTAGCACTTCAGAAGACCAGATGTTCGGAGTGTAAATCCTGTGGAGGGTGATGTCCTCTCAAAGCCCACCAGCATATGTTCACTTTAAACACACAATAAAGCTGGAGAAGCAGAAACCATTACTCAAACCCAGCGCAGCCTCATGACTTGTGGCGATGTCCATCATTTTAACACGTATGTGCTGCCTATCTGTACGACTTTTTTATTTTCCGAGGATTTAGGACAGGCAGGCAAAAATGTTATATGTTATGATTTTATTAGCTTTTATTACATGTGTAATATTTTTCTTGTACGCTCGCATACCTCGAAGCTAGTTTTTTAACGCACTAAAAAGTCAACTGGGACGTCATGGTCTTTCAACATGTAAGACTAACGTTACTTAATATTTGCACTGTTCTTGTTGGACCCTGGCTGAGAAAATAATTAGACCCTTGTTGTTGGACGCACGTGCAGAACGTTGTAATCATCATATATTACAGTGACGCTCTAACTTTTTTGCTCATTTGCTCAGGATTTTTTTTCTGCCTCCGTCGTCCCAACAATAATCTTGACAAATTACGTTTCATAATTGTTGAACTAACACCAAGTTAACGTCATGTTTTTAATGAATCAAAATCATTAACATCAAATCACTTTTTCAAAAAAGAGAAAGTACAAGATGCAGCCGTCATCACTTGGACCCTGCAAATTTCCTCCCTTTCGTCACGCCCCAACTCTCATATCTCCGTTCGCCAAGTCACGCCCCAACTCTCATATCTCCGTTTGCCAACAGTGGGGCTCGCCCCACTGTTTGAGAAGCACCACTTTATGCAGTGAAATCAGTTTGAAGTTGAATGTAAAGCATCAAACAGAGAGAGTTTTAGGCCAAGAGAGTTGTTTTCGGTTTCTTTACCTCAAACAAACGTATGACGCGTCACATTTATGTTAAAAGAGATGTGTGTTTAGATCAGCGACAGTTCACTGCTCTTCATACACACCAGGACCAATTGGTAACAGTTGTGACCCCCCCACTCCCGCCCCCACCACAAGCACACACTTACCCTCCTTCACACTATAACAAGGGATAGATTAGAGGAGCTGTCTGTCTTTACTTTCGTCTTTCAGCTTGTCCCGTGGAGAATTCTCCTCCAGAGTTAGTCCCACTGAGTCACATTCTGTTTAAATCATTGAAGGGGGCGCGAGGTTTTTCTCTGTGTTCCGAGTCCATTCTGGAAATGACTTTTGAGTTACTAACGCACATCCTGCAGCCACTCTGGGGTGTTGGTGTTTGCGATAGCGCCTTCATCCTCAGGGCACTTTACATTTGCAGATCGAAAACCGCAACGTCAGCTGCCGTTGTCAATCGGTAAATCAGATGTTTGAACCTGGTGCCGATTCAGAATAAACTATTAAAGCAGACATCAATGTTTTGGGAGGTGGATGTCTTTCAACCAAAGTAGACTTGAGGAAAATCTCAACCAGGATGTTACGGTTTTGAATCGTTAAACTTTAAGGTCCCACAGAAGCCCTTATCAAACCTCCACCATCCCCAACCTGTTCCCTCTTCATTCTCTGAACAAAAAAATACAACAAAGAGAGCAACATACATTCTGTAGGTTTGATGTAGGCCTGGCTGATTTCACTGCTATCTGTGACCTTCTGTTTTTTCCATTATCCTTGTCCTCCATTTCCCTTCGTTGATCTGGACTGTGTATCCCGGCTCTGCAGTTATTCACTGACCTTGTTCCTGGCTTGTTTCACTGTTTCTCGAAATGGGATCAGACATTCTACTAATTGCCAATTCGTGTAGATTGTCATCATTAACTGTCTGGACCTCGAGGACAGTACATCCCTGTCCTCGAGGTCCAGCTCTTTCATCTCATCCAGTTAGCCAACGTAGTTATCGGAAAATCTGTAAGGATCATTAGGTATTGTGGGAAGAAATCATTCTTACTCATATCGTGGTTTATTGCTCCCTTTGGATCGGAACTCACCGCACAAGCATCTTGGACTTTTATCTGTTCGCTGTGGACATTATGTCAGAGGCCATGTTGAAACGATCATCTTGAAAAAGAAATTCCTTCATAATCAATTTTGATATATTTTGACATTGTCAAATGTTACCTTCACAAAACATCTGGCGAGGAACGTCAACTGAAATAATACCAACTGTTTCTTTTTTACATTAGAAAGTTCTGTTTATCGCTTGTTTACGTTGAAGCGTGGTTACAATTGTTGTGTATCTTTGGCAATTAATGCATTTAGTTTGTAGTTATATTCCATTAGTAGTCGTCCACTGCTCTTTTTAGTTACTTGACATATATTTTATGCTTATAACAAAAAAGAGTTCAGAGGTTGGACCATTTCAGTTTTTTAATCCAGATGGATTATTTCATTTGCAATTTTGTGTCTGTATATTTGTGTATATATTTGTGAGATTTCTCCCGACTCCTGACAACATTATTAACAGTTGATTGCAAACGGCCGATGTTCCTGTTCCCTCTTAGAGACACAAACACAGACAGTGTTTGACAGACAAATGTGTGTGTGTTTGTTGTGGGCAAACGATCTTTGGTGTCACTTTAACAAATAAACATATCTTGTCTCTGAAGAGACCGCAGACCCCTCCTCTGTTCTTCGGCCCCGTTCAATAAGCATTTGTTATTACATGTGGTTTGTGTTTGTACATTTTGTGAATTTTACATGCACTTTTAAGAATTGAGAAACTGGTTGTGACAAAAGAAAACACACCCAAACCAAAAACAAGCAAACATATAATTATATAATAAAAACAAGATAAACCCACATTTCAAAACATCAGCTCAGATTTTCATACATTACGGTGGTACTGTGCAGTAACAGTAATCACAAAAGCCCCTCGGCGTACTGGAGGAAATGTGTCTTTGAACGTATCGCACAGGGAAGGTACCCGAGCAGAACTGGATCAGATCTTTTGAAGTCGGTCCCAAATCATTGTTGCACTAAAATATTGTGTCCTTGTAGCATAAATGGTATCGCTGTACAGACTCCTCATTTTATGTCAGAATTATTGCTGTGGGATAGAGAGGTCCTATGATGAGAGACATTCCTGGTCACTCTCCAGCTCCGAGCCTAATTTTTTCAATTTCACACAGCACCCTCGACCAGTGTCTTCGCAATTCACAACACGACCCAAAACAGTGAGTCAGAGAACCAGATTCTGTCTTGCATTTTGAGGCACATGGTTTAGAAATTAGGATTTAAGGACCTAATTAGATCCAGAATGGATTCAGGAAGTAGTGAAACCATTTGAAAGTCAGCGAGGAGTGCTTTCACACAGGCCGCTCCCCCGTCACCGCCGCTCATGTCTGTGTGTTGGCTGTCTCTGCCTTTTGAAGTTCCTGGCCTCTCTGATCTCAGGTCCTGCGCATGTTCTCTGTATTTCTTAATTCGGGGTAATTTACTACACCATCTTATTGGGAGGTCTTTGTGTGTAATAAATGGAAACACCGTGAAGTCTCGATATTGGCAGATAACGGTTTAATACGAAGCAGGATTCACCGTCACTGACCTTATTTTCCCTTTGCTTTCTTTTTTCTCTCTTTCACAGAAATCATTGATGACCTGGCCCATCTTGTGGATAAGACAGATGACAGGATTCGTAATGAAACACGAAGAGTGAAGCTGGTGGAGAATAAGTCGGCCTCCTGTGGTGAGCCTCCCCGCGTTTTCAGATTTACTGTTTCATATTTACTTAGAACAAGATAAATGTCTATGCAATCCCAGTATTTACCAGAATGTATCAGAATTGTGTCATGTTGGAACATCCGAAGAGAATGGATCTTAATGGAGCAGAAAAACTGTGGCGATGTGGATGAGCCCAACTGGCACAGGGCATGATGGTAGTAAACGGAAGGACTGAGCTTTAAAAAGGCGTTTTCCCAAATCAGTTTTCTGAGGAGTCTTTAAGTGCCCGCGGATCGGGCCAGGCTCCTCCAAGTCATCAACGTCCTTCTTTAGGTTTGGGCAAATGGAGTCAGGTCTTTGGGAAACAGATGGAAACACGTGCTCTCGCCATCGCCACAGATTTGTTCCAGTTTGTTTAACATTTGTCTTTTGATTTACAAAAAGTCTTAGCTTCTCCTTTTCTGTCGGCGTGTCTTGCCCTCAGAAGGGGAGCGGGCGTCTGCCACAAGAGGCGTGGCAGCTGGTTATAGCCAGCTCCTGACATGTGGCAGTGTGATCCAGGCTCGCCCAGAGAATTGCCAGACAGAATTGTTTTGGCAAAAACCTGTTTTGTTTTGCTAGGAGACCTATTCAGCAGGCAGTTGTGGACAGAAGCAGAGCAGGCCGTAGTAGAGAGGTCAGCGTAAGAATGCCTCGTTCTGTTGGTTGTGTCCCCATGGTCACCAGAGTGCGAGTTTGTTTGACAATCCCAGAGCTTTTATTGTGTTAAAATCAGGTCTGCTCCTTTACTTTTTTTTAACTTCCTTTGCCTTCACCTTATGCATTTGTAAGAGTTTATAACCATCCGTCTACACTTTGTAGAGTTTTTCTGTCTATGCACACATAGCTGTGTGTGTGTGTGTGTGTGTGTGTGTGTGTGTGTGTGTGTGTGTGTCACTCTCACTTTCTCCGAGACACACATGATGGAAAATTCCCCGATGGTCTTCTTCACTCGCACCTCAATGCTCTCTTTCTTTTTTCCATTCCTCTCTGTCATCTCCCTGTTCGACTCCCCAGTTGTTTGACACTCTTCTTTGTGTCGAGCGAAGAAAGAATTGAAAATACTACATGCCACAAATGGTTTGGAGGGCTCTCCTGTCTCCCCGTGGCAGTTTGTTTGTAATTCCTCAGCTTTAGGGCTTTATTTATTTTGTGAAACCGTGTCTCATCCAACGACGGCGTTCGATGTTATGTCTCAGTCGAGGCCTTGTAAAGCCAGGAACGTTGGACTGTGCCAGAGCAGAGTACGTTTAACATGACTCATTGACAGCGAGGAGATTATAAAGAAGGCATCTTATTTTCTCTGCTTTAATTGAACTAAGTATTAATTAAAAAATAAATTGTTAGTTTGGACTCAAAATATCCTGACAGGTGCTGTGCAACATGAATGTTAAATCTTAATCTTAGAGCGTCTCAGAAGTCAGTCGTTGTTCATCAGTATTTTCAGACAGTTTATTACCGAATTAAAAACAGTATTTGTCCCCAGAGATTACAATTAAAAACAGTATTTGTCCCCAGAGAGTACGTATCAACATTTACTTTTCCTTATATGTCATCAATATGTTAAATAGTGTATTTATGTGTATGAAATATATTCTAAAATATCGATGTATCTTGAAGTTACTGTAAAAACTTGTACATACCAAACTATACAAGAGACAAAACTTTTTTTTTTCTCACTTTCTATTGTGAGATTAGAAAAATGAAGCCTTTCACTGTAATCTTGTTAGCATTTCTGCCGGGGTTTTTTTTGTGGTCTTTGCCTTTTGTGGCCCCTAAATGGTCTTTGAACCGTTAGCAGAGGGCATGCCGGAAGTAGTGAGGGACAGTCAGGACCTTTTGCTGGTTTGTTCAGGGGTTCTCACCAATTATTCATTTTCTCCGTAATTTGTCTTACTGATGTGTCTGAAAATTGCTAAGATGGGAGGGACCCAGACTCTGACCTTCCAAAGCTCCTGGGTGGTCAGTCTGTCAGCAGACACCAACGACCCCCCACCCCCACCCCCCAGCATCAGTGTCACAGCACAACCTTAATCTATTTGGCAAGCAAACGCAAACGTCATTAGCCTCCCGAGGCCTCCTGAGGGTCAGGAGAAGCTGCTTAGTTACTGAGGGACGGTCCGGGGCCAACAGAAGGGTCAGTGGGGCTGTTTGACGTGACTTTATTACCGGCTGTTATGTGACAGTACTGGGTGTTGTAAAAACTGAAAATGTCATAAAGTTCAGCCTCCAATTCCATTGCTGCCCCTCGGAGGTGCTGGAACACTGACAAGAAGTCCTCAATTAAACATGGCCGCCGGCAGGGATAAAATACAGATTTTATTCTTCAAATGAAAGAATTATCTGAAGACATTTCGGCGCCCCCTGTCTACGAAACTGGAAAAGGTCAGCTAAATTAATTCAAGCACATCTGTGGGGGCAACAATGGAATTAGAGGTGAAGAGAAAGGTTCCTGGGATTTTTTTTTTTTGTAGTGCCATCACACTTTTTTTGTCCAAATGTGTGACGTTATAATTTTCTTTAATTAAACTCCATTGCTTTTATGCGACACGACAAATAGGAGGAGCAGTCGCTCCATTAACCCAACGGTTTGTCTTCTGGAGTGTTTCCCTCAAAAAGAGAGAACAGACTCTGAAACTTAACTTAAACTCAAATAAATAATGAGTCTCTCAGAAAAGTATGGGGTAAAAAGCACAGCAACGGAAAGTCTGTTTTTTGTTATTAGAACTAGCCTTAAGTCATTTGCCTATTTATGCAGCAAATAAACACAAATGAGACCACGGCATCTTTTTCTATAAAAACATAACTTCCTGTTTTGTTCAGAATTTTCCTGGATACAGAGTGGCTTCTTTATGACTCTAATTGGAAAAAGAGACAAATTTGGACACAAATTTCAGCAAATGTCACGATGAAATTTTTCTCTTTTTTTTTT